CAAGATGCAAAAAACAAATAATTATAAGCAACCCATGTAACACGATGTTTAACAAGCACAAATTGAATGTACCCTGTTTCCCCGAAAATAAGACTTAACCTGGAAATAAGTGTCATGAGTTCAACTGAAGAAGAATCTGAGGGGTTAATTACAGCTGAAGAAAATTCTGAGCAATTAGAAGCACAGACAGCTGAATCACCACCAGATTCTCCTCCCCCAGTAGCCAGAGTGAGAGCTAAGCTTCAGCAAATACTCATGACACGAAGGTCAGAGATTTGCATGAATGCTTCCCACAGGAACATCAGGTAAACCAGTCCTGAGTTTTAACAGGATGGAAAGCTTGTAGGAGTTTGATGGCTGTTTTTGCTATATAATCTGCACCTGTAAGGCTTGGAAGCAACAAGCCAACACTCTGGTTCGCATCCATGCTCCTGCTTATCTTGGACCTTGTTCTCTGGACCCTTGGTTTTGTACTCTGACTTCTGACTACGATTTGTGTTTTGGAATTTTGGTATCTGCTTTGCATCTTCTGGACTTCTGATATTGGACTGGCTTATTGGACTTTTGCCTGTTGAACCCCCCTGGGAACGTGACAATAAGCCCTAGTACAATTTTTCAGGATGCTCATAATATAAGTCCTACCCCCAAAATAAGCCCTAGTTGTCAAATCCTACCCTCCACCATTGTGCAGCAATCAGAAGAAGATAACATGACTGTACATGAAAAAAATAAAACATCCCCTGAAAGCAAGCCCTAATATTTTTTTGAGCAAAAATTAATATAACACCCTGACTTATTTTCTGGGAAACACAGTAGATAGATTGAAAAACTAATAAAATTTTTGTTAAAGTTTTTTTTCCCTTGGCTCCTCCACAAAGCCAAAGAAGTGTTTAATTATCGTAGAGTGACTCTCTTCACAACATTGGCAAATTAAAAGAGGAAGACTCACTTTGGTTCATTTCCAGCAATCGCATATGCTGGGAGCAAACCAAAAGCAAACAATCCTACCCAGACCACTTTGACAAGACTCAGAAAGGAGTCAGCTGGACTGCTCTGGGAGCAGGCCAGTTTGCTCCAGCAAAGACATCATCTGTTCACCATATTTAGGAGTACACCAGCCTGTCTTTGTAGTAGACCAAACAGTGAGTTAAATGTCCATGTAGTCAACTTAATGGTCTCAATTCTCCATTTTTATACATGTGTGTGAGAGTAGAACAATCATTTTGTGTGGTTGTAATAATCAAACACAGTATCATGTCCAAATGCTGAGATACTGGTCAAATCCTACAAATGGATCTACTACATGTCCAAATGCTGAGATACTGTACTGGTCAAATCCTACAAATGGATCTACTGTAACTGCAACTTAACTTTAGCTTAGTAAGGCACAGTTAGAATAGGTCCATTTGAATTGCTGGAAATTACGGAGGAGTTGACTAGACAAATTTTCATTGATTCAGTGGGCCTACTCTAGTGCAATTTACTGTGTCAAGCTATAGGATTTGGGCCACAGACTATTAGTTTGCCTTAGGTCACAATGAAGTTAAAGTTCTAGAATTTTCCTAGAAGCAAACTTCTAAGTGAATTTGCGGGTTCTCTCTCAGATGCTGTATCTGAAGAATTGTGAGAAAGTTTAAAACTGTTGGAGATACTGTTAATGGGAAGCTTTGTTTCCCTGGAGGAGATAGTTGCTACATTATGTGTTGCCTTAAGAAATATCTGGCACACAGCAGCTTACAAACATTGGTATTATTTGTTCCTTAAAGTTGCTTAATATTCCACTGTCAGTGTAGAGAGAGAGGAGAACTTACATTCAATCCCTCTGTTAACTCCCATCCTGTCTAATCATTTTGGAGTTCTTGATCGCCTAGAACAGTTATTTCCTCTGTACAAAAGATGGTGATTGTTAAATATTGGGAGGCATTAGAGATGATGTAACTGCTTGAAGAACCAGAAGACCACTGGAGGCAAAGCTGTTGCTGTTCTAATCACTGTTGATCAAGCAGTGTGTACTTTTCTCAGAAAGGCTTTAGTTTTCTTAGTGTTCAGGATCAGTAGAAATTTTCCCTCCATAAAGGCCAGTTTTTCCCTCTTTCTCTTCTCTTTTCACTTTAAAACAAATCCCCAAAGCAATAGTGAACATTCCTTTCAGATCCTCACATGTTGTAGAAGACATGTAACTGTTTGCAAAGGTTGGCTTGTCTTGCAAAAATCTCCATGCACATGTGGTTTTTCAGTAAGAGAGAACCCAAGAAGTACAGTTTTTGGCATTTCCCTATTAGTCTTCCTTTCACTGTTTGTCTTGCAAAGATCTCCATGCACATGTGGTTTTTCCAGTAAGAGAGAAACCAAAAAGTACAGTTTTTGCTTTGTTTCAGCACGGCATTTCCCTATTAGTCTTCCTTTCACTGATTTCGTACTATGAACCGCTGTGTTCTGTTGTATTTCTCCCTTAACATAGGTGTATTCAGCGTGCAAGTTTACCTTCTGTAAGATCCCAGCACCGTACACTGTATCCAAAAGGGTAAGGAATAATGAAGTTTGCTCTAATGATACTGGAAGATAGGCACATGTGGAAGAATACAAGTTCCTCATTATATTCTTTTGCTGGGTTTTCATTATGTGACACTAGGAATAAACATAGACTTTGTTAAATACAACTTGTAATGAATGGATTGCAGATGCCATTCTTAACCTCTAGATGATGTGGATGATTCACTTGTCCTTGTAGCCAGCTTTGCTTAAGTTTATCCAGTGGTTCTGTTGATTTGGAGGCAGCCTCTTTGAAAGGGACCACTCCATTCCAACTGTCTGTTGAAATGTTATGAGAATTAGAAGAGCTGAGATATCTCTAAAGCAGGGGTGAGGAATTTTCGGCCCTCTAAATGTTTTTGAATTGTAGTTTGCACTATTGCTGAGCTGGCATAAGCAAGAGAGAGATGATGCAGTCCCACAATGCATGGAAGATGATAAGTTCCCCATCAGTGCTGTAAAGGTATATAGAGTCTCTTGCTTTAAAATCTCAAGTGGGTTTCCCACACTCTGCTACCAGAATCGAATACTCTTCAGTGTTTTCTCTCTTTAGAGACATAAGCAGTTCAGGGGTTTACATTTGCAGACCTGAAAAGGACTTCGACCATTTAGCATGAAACCTTCGCTAAAGCAAGAATACTGTATAGTGCTCATTCTTGCAGTAATTAGTTTCTATATCACTTAATGTCCTGTTTCCACAAAAGTAGGTACTGCAGCTAGTTAAAGTGTTGATCTAAAAACATGTTCGTAATGTTATCTTGAGTGACTTTGAAATCAGTATTCTAGGGAAGTGTTGGAGGATGGAAGAAGATGAGGAAAAGGCTAAATGGAAACAGTGTATTTAAAAAAGAAAGATACCAATGTGCTAAGAAGCCTTTGGACTTGTTGTCTCAGGTGAATGGGCAGTGGAAAGGTCACAGTGCTGGTGGATGTGGGAATTTTAGAGAGACATCCAAGAACAATCCTATTTACCAGTTCCAGTTGGATAAGACTGGGCCACTCCTGATTGAACTCAGAGGACCAAGGTTAGTGCAGAATTAAACAGAACTATGCAGTAAATGTAGTAGAATATGATACAAAAAATATAGACGTTGACAAATTCAAATCCTGTCTAGGGATTGTTGCATACTGCATTTATTTGGATTTACCTGTGAAGTTTGAGCCAGATCCTGCTCACTGATTTTAAGCATATCAGTAGCAGAGGTGGGCAATCTGCAGTCAATGGGACCCAAAGGCAGCCCCTTAGAACCCATACACCCCCAGAAATCTTTTTCAAGGGGTGGCATAAGGGGCAATTTGTCATGTATTGAGAGCTCTCTAGAGCCCTGGAATCCCCCCATAACTCAGGTCAATTTAAATTTAATGTTCTGTTACAATGTGTGATGTGTCATATTATGTTATGACGTAATATGAATAGGCCAGAAAGGGACTTTGAGTTTTAAAAAATACTGTAACAGGAAGAATGGGGTGAAATTTGTAGGAGCGATATGGCCTCCCAAGATTCAAGGATAGTCATGTGCAGCCCCCCCCCCACAGGTCACCTATTTCTGATTTATAGCATTATGAGCGACAAAGCTGTTTTTAAGAATTACTGTTGAAGAAAGTGAAAAGTTGTAGTCTTGATATCAATGCCTATAGTTACATGGAAGCACAGAATGTACACAACTCTGGGGGGGAAAACTTCCTGTAATCGTGTAAGATAAGTTTCCATAATAGCCTTTCTATAAAACCTTGTGTTCAAAAGGAAAATTTATGTTTGATTCACAGGCAGTACAGTGTTGGGCTTGAGTTGGTGACAGTTTCTACTGTGAGTGAACCCGGTCCTTTGGGTTTTCAGAAAAAGAATAGTGGTGATTACAGGTAACGACTTGTTTGGTTTGTATATATTTGGTTGTTTTGCTCCAGATCTTACATATACTAAGTCAAAATCTCTTTCTCTTCTTCCCCAAGGTGTGGATTTTGCTATCTGGAAGTTGAGACTGCACCTGCTGGTGTTTACAATGTTATTCCAAGCACTTTTCTTCCTCAACAGGAAGGACCATTTTTCTTGGACTTTAATAGTGCTGCCCCTCTTAAGGTTTCACAGCTGCAATAAGATAGTGTGGCTGGTCCAATGTCTTTTTTCCCAGAATATGCTGAAACTGACAAGTTGGCTATCCTTCTGGAGGGCAATCAGAGAAAATCCTTAAAAAGTTTACATGGAATGCACAAAGGATATGGACTCCCAGTGAATCACTCTCCAAAGTTGAAACCACGAGCCCTTACACCCAGTGGTTTGTAGCATTCTCTGAAAGCACAGAAATCTGAGTGATGCCTTGCTTTGTCAGTAACTAGTACTTCGATAGTGGCAGCATTGAGGACTAACAAAGGAGAATGCTTCCATTTCATTTTGGTCTGGTAAAATGTGCTCTATATTGCATGGCTCAGCTTTTGAGAATCTGGCACCTTATACTGTATTGTTTTTATCAGGGTTTGGTTTTAAAATGTCTGCCTCTTCTTTTCTACCATCTGGCTTCCCAAAGTCCTTTTTTTTTTAACCAGCTTCCTTCCTTACTTCCTCTTTGTCTTCTTTTCAAATAATGCAATCAAATACCTCTATTTATCTCTGTCTTAATCTGGAATCCTGGACTTGTGAGAACACTTTGCTTGGCCTTCTGCTTGATAGGCACAAAAAACAGTTTTGGCTTGACAGGCACCAATAGTCTGGTCTGCTTCTGATCAGGTGCAACAGAGTTCTTGGCTGGTACTTGCTCTGTATTTTTTGCTGGTGATGCTTAATGGAAAACTAGTCTAGGGCAAGGGGAAAAGATCTGTGCCAAACATCTAACACAGAGAATGCTTGTATAAAGTGATACAAATCATGTATTTCAGACTTTCCTTACGGCACATTCATCAAAATGCCATTGGTGTACCTCCTTCAGTTCCACACTGTTAGTTCAATCTCCAAGATGCATTTGATGAGCTCTACATTTGTGCTACACACACTGCTTTGTTACGTGTCTTATGAGGATAATTGTTGGGTAGTGCAATTTCACACCATCAGGGATGAAGAGTCAGAAATAGTCTCATGGCTATATATTACCAATAGCCTCTCTCCAGCTACTTGTAGCAAGTAACATCTCAAATGCATAAGTAGGTCTGACACCTCTTTTTGGGCGCACTTTATCGCATATCAGCTAATTTAGTTTTGATCGTTCATGTAATTATGTCTGGCTCAGAAGGAAAGACGGATGCTTTCTATCCTTGTCACACTACAGAGATGTGTGAGCATGTTGATGGGTCTAAAGAGTCTGCCTGCTGTGTATTATACTTTTGTCCTTAATCGTGTTGACAACATGGGTGTGTGTGACAAGGTTCCATGTGCTTTGCAATTCCTTGCTTCTGTTGTACGATCACCCCTGTATTATAATGGAGTGTACATTCAGGTATTTCCAGAGTGGCTAAACTGAGATTCGATCTTAAATCTAGACCCATGAAATACCTTTACTCTGAACAATGTTTAGATACCACCAAAGTATCAGATTCAGTTGCCTTGTTTTAAAAGAATCTACCCCCTAAAATAGGCATCACTAATTTTTCCTTTTGTAAAATTTAAGAAGCAAACTGTAGGAAGCAAAACATTAAAAAAATTACAGCAAAAGTTATAGCCTCAATTTGAGCCATTTGAAGAGAGGGGAAATGGGACTGTATACATCTACCACACATCATCTAGGTGAAAGCACCAGTGTGATGTAGTAGATAGAGTATCTCAGTCTAGGATTCAGGAGACCTGGGTTCAAATCCTTGCACAGTTATGGAAACTCAGGAGCAGAAGGGGCTGGCAATATAAAAAGACTCCTTAAACATCTCACATACCTTGAAAACATTATTAGGATTGCCAGAGAGAGGCAGTGACAGACTAGGACTCTGGAGATCAGGGTTTGAATCCCCACTTGCCCATGGAAATTCATTGGGAGAGTGAAACTGATGAAAACCATTCCTTAAATATCTTACTTACCTTGAAAGTCCTATTAGGGTCACTATAAGTCAGTTCCGACTTGACAGCACAAAACAGAGAAAGAGAGAGGTATGCACATAACCATTACCTAGCTTAGTTATTGCAGGTTAGAAAGCTGTGTCCCCATTTAAAAAATGCTATCTCTTGTACCAAAGTAGGTTGTTCCTTTCACAAATGTATCTGGGCCCTTTCACTGACCTGGGGTGACAAACAATTAAGCATGCAGTGAGCATTGTATGTATAACTGAAAATGTGTTTTGCATACAGAGTTCAATCCACAATTTGTTAGTTGAACTACAGGTGATGTGTTGCCACAGGAACTCAGATAACTGAAACTAATGAACAGTTATTTGAATGGGATGCAGATTTATACCAAGGAACTACAGTGCTGGTTCATCTTACATTTCCAAAACCCTGAAACTTGTAAGCCTCTTAATTTAAGTCTTGCTGAAATGAGTAAGACTATAAATGAAGCGTTTAAAAGTCAGGGTGCTACTTTTCATATATGGAAGTCCCAAGGTTTTCCTGCCTTTATCATACTAGCAGGGGATAAGCCTTTGCATGTAGGCTGTTCCCAATAAAGTGGGAGGGCTGGAGAGGTAAGTAAGCCATGTTCTTATTTCACCAATTTGTTTTGGAAGCCGTTGTCATTTGCTTGATAGCTCTGCCTTTTCCATATGCTTTTTTAAAAAAGCAAGTGTTGCTTTTGATCACATTCACATAGGTATACATGCTCTGTGTTGTTAACTGCAAGATTACCATGCAGCTCAACAAGGAGTGCTCTTTTGGGATAATCTCAAATGATAGCTGCCTTTGAAAGAAAATTAAAATCAGGTGCCTTGTAATTGGTGTTCTGTGATGGGCCATCTGGGCCTGGGGAAATTGATGCATGCTGTGTGTTTGACAGTAACTGGCAGTGTTATCTGCTTTTCAAGGTAATTAGCAAGATGAAAGTTGTAACTGAAGCACTGAGTGCCAGATAAGTCAGTCATAAAAGACAGAAGGCAACAGTTGATTTTAATTTATTCTATAAGGGCCACTTCACACATTAATTTCCTGCATAGCCCAGTGTAACAACAGTATACATTTCTGCATGTGCTCAGTGTACTAACCAACCATTCATTCTTGCCCGCTAAAAAGGCATGGCAAGAGAAGTTCTTTCAGATTATTGGCTGCAGCATTTATATACCAGTGGAAATTGAACAATTAAAAAAAATCAAAAAGTAGGTCCATTGAATCAGTGGAACTTACAGAGGAGCTGACTCACCAAATCTGCAAATAGTCAATGGGCCTAGCTTAGTTATTGTTTACTGCTAGATTTCAGCCATTGTTTGTTTATTGGGACTATTATTCTGCCTGCTTTAAGTGCCAAAATGATTTAAAACAGCATTGGCATCACTTCCTATAAACAACTGAAGATTTTGTTGTCATCTTGTTCTGAAGTACCAAAGCAGGAAGTAATTAAGTTAGGTGTGTAGAATTCCCTAGCTTTAGGAGCTGTTAAGCTAACTTCCCTTGCCCACACCTTCCATAAATGATCACTGGCTCTCGTTTTGAAGACTGAGGTGCATGTCCTTTATATTAATAGGGTGAAAGTACATTAAAACCTCACCAAGACCTGCTGATTGCCTAGAACTGTCTGTGGTGTAGCCAGGCATTGGCCAGTCTGGTTATGATTTAAGACAGCTAAAGCAGTTGTTCCCAAACTTGGGTCCCCAGTTGTCGGACTTCAGCTTCCCAAAGATTAAATTAGCAGGGATTCATAGCCCAAAATTTTGGGGCATTCACTGTTGAGAGGTTACTGTTGTTAAGCATGAGATTATTTATTTTTTGTAGGAAGGTCACCAGTCCTTTCAAAATATTGTTTATGTTAATTTCCCTGCTGCCTACAAGTGCATATACATACTGCATCTCCACTCTGAGTAGTTTCCCCAGGCCACATACAGGCAAATTATATGTGAGACCCAAAAGTTACTTGTGAGAAACGGCAGCAAATGCCATGTGTTGTATTAAGATATGTATTCTCTTTCAGGGGTAATGCTCTGGTATTGCATTTGGTGCGGATCCCCTAGCACATTTTAGAGCCTGTGCATTGCATGGGATTCTGCAGTAGAGCATAGAGAAATGCAATGGGACATTGTGGAAGTATGGGGGGGGAGGAATCCCTAAAGACACTCTTCCAGCATCATGCAGGCTTTCCTCGTGCATCGTTCAAGAACCAGCCTGGTTCAGATTATCAGGTACCAACTCAGCTTTTTAGGAGTCAGCTCCACTCAATTTACAGGCAAAGGCAAGTAACAAAAACACATGTAAAACTGACAAGAGGAGTTACAGCACACATTGAATACCACCATCAGCAACAGTGCTGATTGCATGACATCTTGCCTGAGTTATCTGAATGGTAGGCACATTGCCTATCACCATTTCCTCCCAATAATCATTTAGGCATTTAAGTAAGGAGTTGCCTGAGGTTACAGTAATTTGCAGAATTTCATGATAAGGGGGAGCTATTGCTTCATTAGTGGCAGTGCTAGTCTAACTTGTGAAGAGACTGAGAACTTGGAGTTTATGAAGGAGGCCAAGAAACTCTGGGGTTTTCAAAATTATTATTCATAGGTTTATGTTGTGGGTTATTATTATTGCTGTTAGCTGCTACGAGTAGTGCTCTATTAGTAGACAGGTAGCATACAAATATATAAAATAAATAAATTGGATCCTAATTTCACATGAGTTTGAGCTAGTCATATCTGCAAATCAGTGTGGCAGCCAAGTTTTGATCCAATCCATTGTTTGTATTCAACTCAAAGTTTGTATCCTCAAACTTTGAATTTTATCATGTATTACAATATCAACAAAAGACACCTCACAAGTACACTAAACTCTCTAGTATTCACTTTATTACCTTTCCATTTGGCACGTTTAACGTTTATTTCTTTAGCTGAATTCTAAGCCAACTGCACAAATAGAAGGCATGTGTATAGCTGAGAGAATAATTTTATAAAGGACTTTATAAAGCATTTTTAAACACTTTCAATGTAATACAGTACTGCACATGAAGACAAAAGGGTAGAGAGATCTGTTGTAGTGTGAAGGACTTTTTACATTTGTTTCTAGAATAGATATATAAGCTAAATAGTAGGGGCAAAATACAACCAAACTAAGCCTTGGGAAGGGGGGGGCATCGCTAAACACCTTGAAAATAAATATAGATGGCATGTGCCAATTTCAAAGTCCTAGCTACCAAAACAAAAATATTATGTTAACTATTGTTTATTATCATAACTAACCAATGTCTCTACTGTCTACAGCTGTCTGAGGCATGCTTCAATTCCCTTTCCAATCTTACTCAGCTTTTTGCTCAAGGGCTGCTAAATTTATAAGTCCCTTTAATTACTCTAAAAAGAAAACCTATACATTGACAGCCTACAAAGATATTAAGTACTCATTCATCCTTTCAACCTTTATTGGTAGATAATGCTATGTATTCATGCATACCTCCCTTTCTACTCTGCAGGCCAAGGTGTAAACCTAGGATATCCATCTACACATAGTGATTGACTCCAAATGGGACAGTCACAATACAAGAGTGCTGGAAAAAAAAATCTCCTAAATAAGTATTCCAATTGTATTTCACTTTGGTAACTGAATTCCTCGTAATTTTTATTCCCACTCCCCCACCCCAAAAAACAGCATGTGCATTAATACTAATACATTTATGTTATCCTTGAGGTATAATTTATCACTCATCAGCTCTGAAAGATGAGCAGTTTTTCTAGGCTCAATTACATGCAACAAGTTCCTTTTATAATCCCAAAATATAATACAGACATTTAAAGTACAAGTTCATTTAAAAAGAATATGCCACTTGCACCTTGGAATTCTAGTACTTTTAAACAGTAGCTTAGCTCCCAAAATGGCCATCAGCTGCTCCTCTCAAACATTTGGCTTGGCCTTCAGTGCCCAAGCGGCACAGAACTCCATCAAAAGACAAAACAGTATTAGTTATTGCTTCTGCCAAACTGCTACAAAATGTCTTACAAAGGCTGTGAAGTACAATCGCAGCTGATGTTTGTGACCAATTTCTGTTCTGACAAAGATGTTGCTCTTATTCTAAAAACTGACACATACTCTTCAGCCCTCAACACTGATGTAACTCTTAGTGCAGTTTCAAAGAGTAAACGTGTAAAGATTTGGCATACATTAGTTATTGGCACAAGGCTCTTCTGACATTCAGAAGAAGTTTGTGTATAAATAAGTTACATTCCTCATTAGCACTGGAAGGACCTAAAAAATCTCAGCCAAGTTGTACTATTTTTCTGTCTGCGCAAATCCCGTCTTTGAGTTTCAGGCATTGTAGGGTGAGCTGCTTCATCCTATTGTCCAATGTTGGGCCATTAGAAGAAGGGTTGCTGCTGCTGCTCCTGTTCTTATTCAGTTTGTCAAGTGTCTTGTTCTCTGCTCCTTCTGCCCGGTTTCCTGTAGAGATGGAAAAGTTGTATTCCTATTGACTGAGGAGCAAATGTAGGTCAACAACACATGCAAAGACTGCAGAAAATGAGAGTATTTAAATAGATTCCACAGACGGAAGAGGCATCTACCAGATGCTGTGAAGTGATGTTATTAAAATGCCTGGCACATTTTAGCCTGTTAATATTATAAGGCTGTGTTCGGGGGGTTAAAAGAGAACCATCTGTCCACACAAATCCCATCTTTGACTTTCGGACATTATAGGCCGAGCTGCTTCATCCTGTTGTTTCTTTGGAAACAGCCTCCAGTGAAGTCACTAGTGAGTTGTATTGGGAGACTTTTTCAACAGAAATTAGTGCAGATGGTCCTTTTTATTTCCTGAGTACATTAAAAGCCTTCTTCAAGATACTGAAATAGTAACGGACCAAAATATGTCAGGTATATTAATAAACACCATTTCACACCATCTTGAGACATGTCTCTTACATATGTAAGTTCAAAAGATTCCTACGTGACACACACACCTTATTAAATAGTAATAAGTCACAGAATCAAAGAATAGTGAAGTTGGAAGGGACCTGTGAAGCCATCAAGTCCAACTCCCAGATTAATGCAGGAATACAAGTCAAAGGATATCTGCCAGGTGGTTGGCTAAGCTTCTCTTGAATGCCTCCAATGTTGGAGCACTCGCCACCTCTCAAGGTAATTGGTTCCACTATCTTACTGATTATGTGCCGTGAAACTGCTTTCTATTTACAGCAACTCTTTTTCATAGTTTTCCAGATATATTCAGAAGTGATTTTCCATTCCCTTCTTTTAGTGATGCCCTATCTCTTATCCTCGGAGCACAAGAGATGTCAAATGCCCAGCCTCTGTTTAACTCATTGGGTAATACAGCCAGTACACAAATTAAGGACACTAAAAATGATTAGATCTTCATCCAACCATCTCTCCACTCAACCCAAACCGTCATGACTTATTACTCTAGTAATGAGCGGTGTAACAAATTATTGCATACCTTTAAATAAATTATCTTGCTACACTGAAAACAGTGGAGTAAATTTAGTCATGGCTAGAGATGGGGGTGTTCGTATATGAATACCTCTACTCAGGTGGACTTAATGGGGGCTGGCCCCTGTGGCCGGCCTGTTCACTCATGTGTCTGCCAGTAGCAACCCTGCTCATCTTTCCAATCACTCATTAGGCCTATCCAGAAAAAAACCAATTTGGCAGCTGATAATATTAACAACTATCATCCAGTCGCCAATATCCCCTTTATTGGCAAGCTGGTGGAGAGAGTGGTGGCCGACCAGCTTCAGGTTCTCCTGGAGGAGACCGATGCCCTTGATCCGTTCCAGTCCAGGTTCATGCTGTGTCATGGCACAGAGCCAGCATTGGTCACCCTGCAAGATGACCTCTTGAGGGAGGCCGACAGGTAAAATGTCCTTGCTGGTCCTCCTCAACCGCTCAGCAGTCTTTGATACCATCGACCATGGTATTCTCCTGGGAAGGCTCTCGGGGTTAGGGATGGGTGGTCAGGCTTTGGCCCAGCTCCAATCCTTCCTGAAGGACCATCCTCAGAGAGTTCAGCTTGGGGAGATGATGTCCACTCCATGGACTCTCAATCGTCCACTCCATGGACTCTCACGGGTCAATCATTTCCCCAATGCTATTTAATATCTACACAGTGGTGCCCCGCATAGCGAGGTTAATCCGTTCCGGATTAACCCTCGCTATGTGGAATCGTCGCTAAACGGGTAGGGAAAACGTATTGAAACGCATTAAACTTAGTTTAATGCATTCCAATACCTTGCTTACTTACCCGTTCAGCGAGGATTCCCCTTGCCGGCAGCCATTTTCGCGCCCTCGCTAAGCGAGGGCAGGGCGTGAAAACAGCTGCCGGCAGCCATTTCCGGGCTTCCGGTGGCCATTTTGGAGCCGCCGAACAGCTGTTCAGCGGCTCCCAACTCGCTAAGCGACGCACCACTGTATAAGGCCGCTGGGGAGGTCATCAGGAGTTTTGGAGCTTCGTGTCACCAATATGCAAATGACATGCAGCCCTATCTCTCCTTCCATCCTTCTGCAGTGGATGCTGTTTCGTCCCTTGAGCTATGCTAGGATGGATGAAGAACAACAGGCTGAGGCTGAGCCTGGACGAGATAGAAATCCTGCGGGTGAGGGCCCCTAGTGTCTGTGATCTGGGTGCTTCCCTATCTTTGGGGGGGCACTCTTTTCATGGAAGGATGAGGTTCGTAGCTTGGGCATGCTTTTGGACCCATTGCTATCAATGACATCTCACATAGCATCTGTGGCCCAACCCAATCATCTCCACCTAAAGGAGATCGCCCAACTACATCCCTACCTTGACACCAGGTCATAGCATCTGTGGCCCAATCTGCCTATCTCCACCTAAAGGAGATCGCCCAACTACATCCCTACCTTCACACCAGGTCCCTCACCACGCTGGTCCATGCACTGGGAGTCTCAAGATCAGACTACTGTAATGCCCTCTATGTGGTGCTGCCCTTGGGACTGCAATGGGTCCAGAATGTGGCGGCCAAACTTCTGAGTAGGGTTAGAAAATACCAACGTATCTCCCCCCACACTGGCCACCTTACACTGGCTACCAGTTCACTTCCATACCAGTTTTAAGGTGATGGTACTAATCCATAAGGCCTTAAACAGTTTGGAACCTCGGTATCTGGCTGTGTGCCTCCTTCCAGTTAGATCTGCCCATCCTATAAGATTGTGGCAGGCAGGGCAGCTGAGAATTCTGACTCCGAGAGACGCCCAGAAAACAACCACTAGAAATAAGGCCTTCTCGGCTGTAGTGCCACAATTATGGAACTCTCTTCCGCCCGAAGTCCGCCTGGCCTCTTCACTGGGCACATTCAAAAAGCTACTAAAAACTTGATTATTTAGACAGGCCTTCCCTGAATAAACTACACTTTGATACAATAGTGTCCAATAATATAAGTTCTATCATACTGCCATGCTCCATGCTTTTATTTTCTTTTATGCTTTTAATTGTATTTATTGTATTATAATTTTAGATTTGCACCCCTATGTATTAATGTTGCTATTTGCTATTTTGTTACTCTGTTGTTTTTTGTTATTTGTTGTAAACCACCCAGTGCCCTCGGCTGCCAGATGGGTGGTATATAAATCAAATAAATAAATAGACACTCCCGGAGCTCCACTCTCTTCCTGCTCACCTGGCCACACACACAGCAGCCATGCAAGAAGACTCGTCCTCCCTCCCACTGCCTGGAGTGGCCAGGCGAGCAGGAAGAGAGCAGAGCTCCGAGAGCGATTCAAAGGATAAACAAGGCTGCTGCCGCCGGCGGACACATGAGTAGATGGGTTGGCCGTAGGGGCCAGCCCCCCATGAAGTCCAGCTGCACGGGGATATTTGTATACGAATACCCCAATCTCTAGTCATGATTGATTTAAATCCCATTGATTTTAGTGGGACTGCTGTAAGTATGAAGAGATCCAACTAGAGATGGGCATGAACTGCTAGTGTTCAAGTGGTTCCCAGCCCTGCCTCCTCCAGCAGATACCCACTCAAAGGCATAGCCCAGAGGAGGCAGGGCAGGGAAACCAGGGTACTGCTTCTGAGCAGGTACCCACTAGAGGAGGCAGGGCTGGGAATCACTGAATATCTGTTTGTACAAAGAACAAACTGGTTATTCATGCCCATCTCTAGATCCAACCTTTGTGTTTAAAAACTAATTTTGGTACTTCCACTGTTTCTCCCTCTGCTCTACTAATCTATCAGGATGGGAAACATACCTGGAAATCAAATGGCCGGTGTTACTCAAACAACAATGTCTTGTGTCTAAAGGATTAGTCTGCAGGTTCTCCATGCCAATTTTTAGTGACTCATTTTTAGATGGAATTTCCAAAGCACTATCTTTTCTCTAGAGCTGTGGTTCCTAACCTTGGATAACCCAGGTGTTCTTGGACTGCAATTCCCAGAAACCCTGGGCAGCACAGCTGGTAGTGAGGGCTTCTGGGAACTGCTGTCTAAACATCTGGGTTTACCCAAAATTAGGAACCACTGCTGTAATGTAGAGCACAGACTTCTCAGAAACCTCTTATTGTGCAAGACCCAGTCCCCTTTCACTGTGGGTACTAGAACTCAGCACTTCCCTCGTGCCACACTTTAAAATATTGCCTTAAAGCTTGATTACTGCAATTATTTCACATTTCAGTCAGAGGGGGATGGTAAGTTAATTTGTTAAGTTAGCAGCATGACATTCAGAAGACACAGGAGGAGAACTTCATAATTTGAGACTTTTCAGACCAGAGGAAGATGAAACAGCATTTCCCCCCCAACTCTGTTTAAAACAGGTTGCAAAGTGGAGAAAAATGCTTTCCTACATGAATGTCCCACATATTTATATGCTCTTACTACATGAGCTATCCCATATGCTAAGAGTCACTGTGGTATAGTAGTTAGGACACTAGAACTGGGACAAAGATTTGGTTTCTGGTCTCCATTAAGCCAGGTGACTCTGGGTTGTTTGTTCTCAACCTGATCCACATAATCACATTGTAAGAATAAATTTGCTTTTAGGAAGTATGTGAAGACACTACTTTTTAAACTGGCGTATAATTCTTTATGTATGACAACTTGAACTGCTTGATGATTTTAATGGTCTGTTTGTCTTGTTTTTATAGTTTTAAAGCTTTTATGTTTGGCATTTTACTTGTTTCTCTCATGAATTATGTGATGGTAAGCTACTCAGAGCATTGCTCAAAATAGAATGTAATAATAACAGAAACAATGTGGACAGGAGGAGAGCCATGCCTTGAGATCCCTGGAAGGCAGGCAGGCTATAGCTTAGTGAGCTAGCTACCTGGCTATGGAACCAATGGCCCCAGGAGATGAACCAGCCTGTGTGGCCTTGGGCAAGCTGCAGTTTCAGACAACCCTCAGAAGAAGGGAATGGAGCAGCACTTCTGAGTACTTTATATCTACAATACCACAAGAGTGTTTACTATTAACTGGGATTGGCAGATATTCTACTGTTATGCTCACTGGAGCTATTGGTTGAGCCAAAGTCATCTGGAGGACACTGGCTTATTGCTGGCTGCCCAGGAAGATGTTAAACATACTTTAAAAATGAGAGAGGGCATATGGAACCCTTCTGTGGGTAAGCACTTCGCTGGCATCATGAACAAAACATACTTGTAGTACAGCAGCACCAGGAAGATCACAGCCTTCTCATTCCTAGTACAAAAGTCATTAAGAGCTTGCAATGTTATTTTTGATTTCTCTTAATGATCCCTTGCGTGGATGTCGCTGCACCTTTTCCAGTTCAACTTACCCCTTTCAGTTTCACATTCAGGAGAAGAAGCCCCACTGCATTCACTGCGAGGTCCTAGTAGAGGTAATATGCTAAATTCAGATAGTGAAATAGGGCTGGATAGATCAAGACTTCTTGGCCGAGCGGATGGAGGAAATTGAGCTGGCATATCAAAAGGACTTGTGGGACCAGAACTGAAGCTGGACACAGATTGGGTTTCAGAGTCTTCTTCAGACACAATGCTGCTGCAAGTGTCATCTTCAAATACTTCTGAAGCCACTACACAGATATATGGAGAGAAGTTTCATTAGCAAAACTACTGCCCCCAAGTTTCTCTTGAGTATGCTTATGAGTTCTGTTAAAAATGTAATGCATTTTCTGGTATTATTGAAGATTAACTGCAAAGATACAGTAAATTAGCATCGTACCACATGATAATTAAGGATGCTCTGTGTCAAGGATGAACAACATCAGTAGGTCTAGGCTAATTTCTGCTTGCTGGAAACATATCTCCGAAGTTGGGACTTATTTATTTTTAATAAAGGTGACCAGGTGTTGATCTATGGCTTTTTTAAAAAAGCATGGATAAACAGCAATCTGTTTGGCAAAGGAAGTACACATGCCTTGCTTGAGTGGTGAATCACTTCTCAAGATGTATGTGAGTCCCATTCTCTTTATTTTGTAGAGAAAAAAGTCCCCAGCGATGGGCAAGGGATGCTGCTGCTGTGTTACAATGGATGTGTCACATGAATACTGCCAGGAACAGTTTCCAAATGGCAGGTTCTCCATGCAGTGACCTTAAAGATGAGCAACAAGAAGAAAAAAAAACAGGCCCCAGACCATAAGTCAGGGCTGGAAAATGAGTGGCTCTCAAGATACTATTGGGCTGCTATACCATCAGCCAAATGCAGAGGTGAGGGATGATGAGAGTTGTAGCTCAATGATGTCTGGAGGACTATATATTTCATAGTTCTGCCAAAGACTTTAAATTAACTTTTGTATAATGGAAACCACACAGCACGGCAGCTTCTAAGTATCTACTGTTTCCAAGGTCTACAGAATGTTGCAAACTGGGAATGCGCACACAGATTGGTGCTGACCCACCCTGTGCCCATTTGGAGCCACTATGACCTGGCCGTTGTCCAGGTTCATGCCAACATTTGAATGTTTTCCCATGAATGGAGAAAACCAGATGGCTGTGTCTTGCAGGGGTGCAGGGTTATTCAGTGCCATCACATTAATTTTCGGCTCCCCTAGTCCAGAAAACACAAGCAGGGAAAAGTCATGATGAACTTTGGCAGTGACATCTTTACACCAACAAGAAAAGACAAAAAGAAAGTGGTGGTGGGGAGGAGAATAGTCCTTTGGATCCTAAAATGAACCACTCAAAGTACAATAAAAATGCAAGCACGCTCACTCCCAAAACTGCAGCTCTAGATATGATTTTAGTTTTTTAAAGGGGAAACATTCAAGAATGCAAAGTCAGGCAAGATGCTACACTGGCAAAAGTCATTCGCCTTGTATATCTGCTTTTAAAAAAGTAGGAAGTGGCTGCCACAACCAGAGACCCTAAGGAACTAGAATGTGCAAAAGCAGTCATGGGCTTCCTTTGAGTCTCCTCCTCTGGTACTGCCTCAACATGTTCTTTATAAAGTGATTATCTTTCAGACTCCCTTTTCCCCACTTTTAAGTGTACTGTGTCTTTTTCACTTGAACATTTTAAATCTCATGAATGCTGGCTATAATATGAAGGATCTAAAGAATGCCACATTGCCCCATTATCACCTTAGAAACATTTTGTTGTTGCTTAGTCATTAAGTCATGTCTGACTCTTCATGACCCCATGGACCAGAGCATGCCAGGCCCTCCTGTCTTCCACTGCCTCCCAGAGTTGGGTCAAATTCATGTTGGTAGCTTCGATGACAATGCCCAGCCATCTCGTCTGCTGTTGTCCCCTTCTCCTCTTGCCTTCACTCTTTCCCAACATCAGGGTCTTTTCCAGGAAGTCTTCTCTTCTCGTGAGATGGTCAAAGTATTGGAGCCTCAGCTTCAGGATCTGTCCTTCCAGTGAGCACTCACGGTTGATTTCCTTCAGAATGGATAGGTTTGTTCTCCTTGCAGTCCAGGGGATCAAGAGTCTGCTCCAGCACCACAATTCAAAAGCATCAATTCTTCCGTGGTCAGACTTCTTTATGGTCCAGCTCCCACTTCCATACATCGCTACTGGAAAAACCATAACTTTGACTTTGGTTAGCAAGGTGATGTCTCTGTTTTTTAAGATGCTGTCTAGGTTTGTCATCACTTTTCTACCAAGAAGCAGGTGTCTTTTAATTTCATGGCTGCTGTCACCATCTGTAGTGATCATGGAGCCCAAGAAGATAACATCTGTCACTACCTCCATATCTTCCCCTTGTATTTGCCAGGAGGTGATGGGACTAGTGGCCATGATCTTAGTTTTTTTGATGTTGAGCTTCAGACAATTTTTGGCGCTCTCCTCTTTCACTCTCATTAAGAGGTTTCTCACTTTCTGCCATCAGAGTAGTATCATCTGCGTATCTGAGGTTGTTGAGATTTCTTCTGGCAATCTTAATTCCGGCTTCGGATTCATCCAGTCCAACCTTTCACATGATGTATTCTGCATATACAGTGGAGTCTCGACTTATGGTTGGCTCCACTTACGTACTTGCCATCTCCTGTTTGACCACATCCAGCTTACCAAGGTTCATAGATCTTACATTCCAGGTTCCTATGCAGCCTTTCGGCTTTGGCTCAACCCCTTCATTAGCTCTGGAGCTACTTTTACTTGTCCTCCACTCTTTCTCAGTAGCATGTTGGACGCCTTCTGACCTGAGGGGCTCATCTTCCAGAGTCATATCATTTAGCCTTTTGTTTCTGTCCATGGAGTTTTCTTGGCAAAGATACTGGAGTGGCTTGCCAGTTCCTGCTCCAGGTGGATTGTGTTTAGAACTCTCCACTATGACCTGTCCATCTTGGGTTTCCCTACACAGCATAGCCCATAGCTTCTCTGAATTACTCAAGCCCCTTCCCCACGACAAGGCAGCAATCCATGAAGGGGCTTAGAAACATACAAATACAAACATCCAATTTTATACATTTGTCTGAAGACAGTGTACAAACACTAACCAACAAAAGCTTAAAAATCAAGGTATGGAAATGTACCTAAACTTCTGTAGGATGGCCAAAATGTCACAGCATGGGATAAGGCCTTCTGTATTATGTCAGTATACAGTATTGATTGTGTCTTTGAGAAAACCCTGGTCCTTCCCAGACAATCTAACCTCTACACTACACAGGGTCTCACTGCATAAGGCCATCTAATGAAGTGATCGGGGCAGTTACTGAATGAATACTTTTTCTCTTTTCCTGTGGTCAAATAGGAACATGTTTTCTTTTTTTACTTACTAGAGATGTTATCTGGTTCCAGTTTGCAGATTGAAAGATCTTCTGCAGAAGAGGTGTTTCCTTCAGCACCCACACCGCAACCTCTGGGCCCCATGGAGGAGGCTCTCCTCCTCTCATGGATCTCATCAGATATCATCTCCAAGTTCTTCAGTGCTGTTTTGTATTCACCCTTTGCTGAAGCCAGCTTGGCCTGCAGATCATCCACTGTCTTCTTTAATTGCTAATGAAGCAATCAGAAAGACTTTCTTACTCAGAGTTAGTCACTAGGATGTTAAAAAGTGACATTTATTTTTCATATTGGGGGAGAAAACACAGTACTTGAATTCACGAATTGGAAGTATGTATGCTATAAGCAAAACCAGGGATCTGAGGAACCCTGACTTGTCATGAATAAATAGTGTCCATTTGCAGCAGGAATAACAGCAGGTTTATCATGTTATCTGTCATTGAGCAGTCTCCCTCCAAACAAAGAAGAAAAATAATCCAAGGGTTGTTTTTGGTCTCTGTCTCTAGTTTGCAAGGGAAGAACAAAACAGAGAAAGGAAACTGCCCCCATGACATGATAAATGAATGTCCATGGTTTGTTTAGTAACTCCCAATGTGACTAAGTGGCATGTTGAAGTCCAAAACACAGCCATGATGTGTCATGCTGTATAACAGCAACCAAGTGATCCAACCAAAGTTAAACCTCATTGATATCCTCAGGAGCATTAGGCACATGTAATACTCTGGGTCTTCTGAAATGTCTTTCCCTACAAGTTGGTGCACCACCCAGCCTATTCACGGAGTTCAGACTTCTGTCGAGCCACACCCTCCAGAATTTGCTGTCACAAGTTCCTGAGTTAGAGAAGTAGGACTCTTCATATATATCTGGTACTGCAACCCAAAACCAGCATGTGGCATGAGATATGCCAACTTCAGAATGTCATAGAACACCTCCTTCAGTCTCTACAGCTAAGTTATCCCTCTGCTCCAGTATAAGGACACATGCTGAATTTCTTTCATCATCCATTCCTGTATGAATGTCGCCTCAAATAAGTGTTACCTAACACCAGGCAGATGCACAGTGTTATAATAACTATGCACTTACCTATTGCTAAAGCCCTATTCCTAGGTGAGGGAAAATACTGTATATTGTCTGTACTTCCCCTACTATAATGAGAGGAAGCCTCCCCCACCTTAGTAGAGCGTGCTGCTTATATACTGCTTTGATTCCAATGTTAGTAGCAGTGGGAAAACAAGGATCTGTTAAAGGATCATTGGGGGAGCAGACTTTATTTTTTTCACCTCCCAGGGATCCTGCTATAGAGTTCAGATGCCACTGCTCTGTGTGTGTGTGTGTGTGTGTGTGTGTATGTGTGTGTTTATGCATGCATGCATGCATGCATGCATATTGAGCTCCTAGCCCACTACATGGCACCACATGTAACTCTAGGAGGGAAAGTTTGCTCAATCCTGTCATATGGTAGGGGGTGCTTATTGAAAGACCTTCAGACTTTTAAAAATTGAATGAAGGCAACTATTCAAATATTGTTTGACTCTTTTTATTCAAATTAAAAGCACAAAGGAAGGTCTGTCATGTAAAAATCCTCCTACTCCCACAGGCTACCTATCGTGTGTCCATTCACACTGGTTGCAAGATCATTCCTGCAAGTGGTCATGCATTAGCAAGCTTGCTGGAGCGGGGTGTGTGTGTGTGCTTACTTGGTTGCTCTTCCACTGTGCATTTAGGCAATTAAGATGTTGGCCATAATGTTTAAATGGTCTTCACTTTGGTTTTTCAACAATCTTTTCAAGAGATGCCTCTATCAAATTGTGGAGAAAACAACATGTTCAGTTATATTTTTTCAACAAGGCAGCCCATCTAGGAGAAGGAAAACTCCAATTTCAAACCTCCACTGCCTTGTGGCTATATCCACTCATGGAAAAGGCTTCAGGAGTTAACCTCGAGGCAAAATCCGGAGCTGGAGTCCCGAAGGCAGCATGTGTCGTTCTGCCAACTCCTGCGACATTGCTGGAACCAGTTGTATTGGCCCTTGCCTTTCCATTGGACCATTTCAGCAATGTGGAGAGGGGGGATCTGCTGCTTGGGTAACAGCCTATCCTCCATATTACCTTACCCGGGCTTCATGCTCTGGAGAGGACACTCCTCGATTCAGAGCATGTTACCATAGTCTCTCGAGACTGAAGGATGCCTATAACCAAGTTATAGCTCCTAACTGCCCTGCAATGCAATGCTATATACTGCCCCATAGTGCTTCAAGCACTCTCTGGGCGGTTTACAAGTTCGTTATGCAGGCTACACATTGCCCCCCCCCCAAGCGAGCTGGGTACTCATTTTACCAACCTTGGAAGGCTGAGTCAACCTTGAGCCGGCTACCTGGGATTGAACCCCAGGTCGTGAGCACAGTTTTGGCTGCAGTACAGCGGTTTAAACACTGCGCCACGAGGCTCTTGTTTTGGGCTTAAACTCCAATGGTAAGGAACAGTGGGAGGTATAGAACACAGCCAGAATTCTAGCTCCTCTCCTCTGAAGATGCTGGCCAGAGACTGGCAAAACATTAGGAAGAAAAACCTCCAGAACACAGCCGAACAGCCCAAAAAACCCACAACCACCATCAGATCCTAGCCGTGAAAGCCTTTGAGAACACAGTGAGACATATAGTTGATAAATGTCTGGAGAGCTAAATGTTCCCAGTTCTGCCCTTACAAGACCTTCTGCTACTGGGGGAAAACAGGAGACCAAGGCAAAGAGAAAAACAGGCTATGATCCTGTCTCCACCCTGTTCTTCTTCCACAGAGTCTAATACTCTGTTGGAAAGATCCTGTAGACTTTCTCTGCTCCAGTAC